ATTAGTTTACAAATATTATGTGGGTCCATAATCTTCCTATAAGTTATTCTTATTTATGCTTCTATTCTTTTCCACCCCTAGTGACTCCTACCCACAGATACACTTCCACTTTTTTTCTTTTTTTTTCCACAATTCAGCCTCCTGAGCCACATCTAATCTTAAAAACCTTTTCATTTGTCTTGCCTTCTTTTCAGCCAGTGGTGAGAGATAGATACCTAAACAGCCCATCCTAAATGAATCATCAGTGGTCAGTGGCTGAAGCTGCTTTTCAGAAGTTTTTTCTCACTCTCTGATGACTACTAAAGGACACTGGTATAAAATAAATGTCTAGCCTATGGATGACTGAAATTGCAAGCTAACTTCTATCAATTGTGTTTTATTGTTCATTGATATGTTCAGATTACTGAGCTTTTGACATTTGTAACTTCCTGGTCTGAAAGTACCTTTAAATTTATCATCCATATTTAGTTTCATTTGAAAATGTAGTCACATTGCATAAACATAGGAGGGGGAAAAACAGATACTCCATGCAATCTTACAACAGATATTACTCTCCGTCGGCATGTTCTGTGGATAATGTTCTGCACTGATATTCTCTAGATCTCTTGACTGATTCCAAAGGCAGAGTAGGGTAACTATTAACCACAGAGTCAGATAGCTAAAGGTAGGTCGTATGATTCCTTTTCAGTGTTTTCTTTTTTTTTGTGTGTGTCATGTATTAAATCTGGCTTGGAAGGCTGATTAGGACTTAAAGACTTGCCACTATTGGCAAAAAAAGAAAGGTGCTTCACTGTGTTTCTTTACAATATTTGTCCTGATTTGTGATTTTTCATAAAGCATATTACTTAGAGTAGCAAAGAAAATACAAACCCACCCCCAAGCCCCCCCAAACCCCTATGAAGAATAATACTATTAAGTGAGGCAGAATCATTTCTGCTTCAATTTTTTACTGAAGTACATGTTGCCAAAAATAAACATCTGGAAGATGAAGGACCATTCTATGCAGTATATAGTCCAAAGACATCTTTGTCTTGTTACAATCTCGCATGATTTATCAAATATGCAAAATATAGAAAGCTGCATGGATTAGATGACTGATAATGTGAAACAGACTTTTACCTTTAGGTTACTGATTCAAGTCCAGGCTACATACTGCAAGCAAATATTGCTCAAGCTCTGGGTCTGCAATGCACATGTATCAGTGAACTCCTACTCCTTTACCAGCGTAAAAATGGCACTATAAAATCCACCATAATAATTGCTAATTTTTATGACAGTCATTAGGAGACTGAATAGGTAATGTTAATTGCTTAGAACAGTTTTTCTAGAACCCAGATGTAGCACACTGGCAAGAAACCTATAGGGAGGTTTTCAGTTGTGCATCTCCAAAACTAGATAACAGTCTAGAAACATAACTGTTAGAAGTTAGCAACTCTGCTTTGCTACCCAACAACAGTAAGGATTAATCAAGTAAGAACACCTAAGAAAGCATAAAGCAAATCACTAGTCCCAAGCTAGTAAGTTCCATAAAGTATGCTCTCAAATATTCAGAGAAGTGGCAGTCACTGTAGATGACCCAAATCCTATGACAATGAAAGGAACATTATCTTTGGTCTGAAGCCTATTTACAAATCGTGTCTTGAAAATGCTCTTCTCCAGAACATTATTTTCATTAGAACTGCCACAAAAGATGCATACAAAGCTGTTAATAGGTCTCGGAATCTCTGGATTTATTCCAAAGTTGTGGGCAGAGGACTTTTATCTGATTTCCACAAAACTAGTGAAGTAGACAGCATGTGTAAGCACTTTCATGCACTACTACCCTGGGTCAATAAAAGTCTGGAATGCATCTCTCCCTCTAGGCTTCCTCCATTCAGAGAACATCTGTCTCATTTCCTTTGTTCCTAAAGTCTTCTTTTGATTTGTCCCCAAGTCCATTCCTGGTTAAGCTGTCCTTCTGTCAGTGCTGCAGATGGGAACATTGTGTATTTGTCTGCACAAAGCAACAAGGTATAGCCTTGCACGTAGATTCACCAACAAGTTTCTCAGTCATAGTTCAGCTGAAGTTAAGTTTGCTCACTTGATCACCCTTCATTTTGCAAAGTTATGATCCTAGGAACTGTAACAATGCATTTTTATCTATAAACCTTACTTCTAAAAAGTATCTATGGCTTATTGGTACACAATTAAAGAAAATACAGAGAACCTGAAGTGTGCTCAGTGAAAATCTGAGTCTGGGAGGTTCAGAGGGGTTCTTGGTTTTTCATTGCTTCCATATTCTCTGTCTTCAGTGAAATTAACCGATGCAAAATATTTGAACTTATGTCCACTATATTACTTAAACCAAATTATTTCTCTGCAGAAAGTAGATTTTAGATAATTATTTAGATGTTCTCAGGCAATCCAGGATCATATAATTTCATACTGCTAATAACTGTATATAGTTACACTACAAGATCCAGAGACCTTATTATGAAGTGTAAAGGGTTTTCTTCCAAAACTGTGGTAAATATATATATACATATGAATGTATATAGATATTTCACAAATATATTTAAAATCTATTGTATCTAGGAACAATAAGACATAAATAACATCACTTGTTGGATATCATATAGTTAAAGTGAGACATTCAAACAGGGATCAGATTATAGCAACAGCTTTGCTCATTCATGGGACCCATGTCTTAAGTGTGATAGTTCCTTTAACTTGTATAGTCTACATAGAAAGTCTAATTTAAAAATCCTAAACCACTTGTCCAGTTTGCATTCAATCTACCTGTCTTTTAAAAATAGAATTTATGAACACTAGTGTGAGTGATTTCAGCTACCATTTCTCCATGGGCACAGCAAACCAAACAGTAGCTGGGGGATTATGCAAAAAAAAAGAGATGTTTGGTCAGGTCAAAAACTCACGGTTCAATAGTTTTATGGTAGGGCTGTGCTAGAAGGCTCTAGTGGAGGAAAATCTTTATTAAAGCATAATTTTAGGCTTCAGTGTCTTTTCATTTTGGATAAAGATACTGTGATAAAATTCCTGGCTTTGGTCATGCCTTGGATATTGGCTAAGGAGTGTTAAATGCAGCACAGGGGTGCAGCACCTACAGGCTTGGATGTATTACCTAACTTTTAAACAGTAACTCAGAAGTGCAAAGCTCTACAAGGATACTAGTGAATTATCTGTGATTTAAAAAATAAAAAGTGCATTTTCAAAGGCCACTCTGGTGTGGTCAAACAATATTATACATGGTGAAATGAGAATAAGTGTTAAAGTAACTTGCTAAGGTCACACAACAAGAGTGGACTCTCAGTGCCTGTGTGACTACAGTAAACTACTCTTCCTCTTTGTAAATAGAAACTCCTCTGCAATAAGCCTCACAAGTCTACGATATTCTTTTTATGAGAGGAGATATGATGCAGGAAAGTTGCCATATCTCTGTTTTTATCCTGAAGTTGTCACATAGCAAAAAATCAACAGAATGCATCTTTAGAATTAGAGCTAACAGGATAAAATTTATTTATATGACAGATATTTTGAGTGCAAAAGAACAAATAAGGTTTCTAGTTCCATGAAAGGATCTGTCAAATTTTATAGGATTTTTCTAAATCAAGATTTAACTTTAAATGAATGTGGGAAAAGCATTTTGTTAGTACATGTTCTTGCTGATGAAGTACGTGCATCTGTGCATACAACAAAACACTGAAAACACTGAGATAAAAAGTATGTTGGAATTTCATGAATTGTTTACACATCACTACATGGGCAAATCTTGCCTGATGAATTTGGTGGCCTTTTAAGATGGAGTTACAGTGTTGGTGGATAAGGGAAGAGAAACTGATGTCACATACCTGAATTTCTGCAAACCATTTGATAGTGTTCGGCATCATATCTTGGTCTCTAAACTGGAGACGTGGATTTGATGGAGAGACCACTCAATGCATATAGAATTCACTAGATGGTTGCACTGAAAGAGTTGTGGTCAATGACTTGATACCTAAGTGGAGACCAGTGACAAGTGGTGTTCCTCGGGGATTGGGACTGGGACCAGTGCTGTCCAGTATCTTTGTTGATGACATGGTGTTGTGGTTTGAGGCTTGGAATGGGGGCGTGACCTTCCAGCAACTGGGAGGACCCCAGGTGGGGGTGAAACCATTGTATTCCCTCCCCTTCCCACACACTCTCTGATAAGAGGCAGGGAATGGTTTCTAATTTCACTCCTGCCTTGGAGCTCGGAGAAGGAAGTTGTCCTTTCACTCTGTGGGACCCTGGAACCATTTCTGAGGGTTTTGTATATTTTATTTTTTGTATTTTTCCCCAAATCTTTGTATATATTATTTTCCTTACCTCTCTTTTTCGTTTTTCTGTTCCTTGTTAAAGAATATACTTCATTTTTTTTTCCAAAGTGTCTCTCTCTCTTTCTCAGGGAGGGAGAGGCGAGTACATAGTTCTGTTCCGTGTGGGTCCTGCCCTGAACCCGTTTTTACATGGAACCAGGACACATGGACAGTGGAATTTAGTGCACCTCAGCAATTCTGCTGATGATGCCAAGCTGTAGTGGTGCAGTTGACACAGTGGAGTGAAGAGATGTCATCCAGAAGGACCTTGACATGCTTCAGAAGTGGGCCCATGCCAACTTTATGGAGTTCTACAAGGCCAAGTGCAGGGTCCTGCACCTGGATTGGGGAAATCCCAATCACAAATACAGGCTAGGCTGAGTATGGATTGAGACTAGTCCTGAGAAGCAAGGCTTGGGAGTGCTGGTTGATGAAAAACTCAACATGAGTCAACAATGTGCGAGTACAGTCCAGAAGGCCAACCATATCCTGGGCTAAATCAAAAGAAATGTGGCCAGCAGGTCGAGGGAGGAGATTCTCCCTCTCTGCTCCACTCTTGTGAGACACCACCTGGAGTAATGTGTCCAGCTTTGGAGCACTCAGTACAAGAAAGACATGGACCTGTCGGAGCAGGTCCAGAGGAGGGCCACGAAGATCATCAGTAGGATGGAACAACCCTCCTGCAAGGACAGGCTGAGACGGTTGGGGTTAAGCCTGGAGGACAAAAGGCTCTGGGGAGACCTCACCAAGGCGTTCCAGCATCTTAAAGAGGCCTACAAGAAAGCTGGGGAGGAACTTTTTACAAGGGTTTGTTGTGATAGGATGAGGCATAATGGGTTCAAACCGCAAGAGGGTAGATTTAGATTAGATGTAAGGAAGAAGTTCTTCAGTATAAGGCTGGTGAGTCACTGGAAGAGGTTGCCAAGGGAAGCTGTGGATGCTCTAACACTAGAAGACCAGTATGATATGGGCTTGCACAACTTGGTATAGTGGGAGGTGCCCCTGCCCATGGCAGGTGGGTTGGAACTAGATCACCTTTAAGGTCTCTTCCAACTCAACCGTACCCAACCCAACCCAACCCATTCTATGATTTTATGAGCATCAGAATTCATTATAGGTTCTGAATGAATGTAGGTCAAGCCCAAAACCTCAGAACATATGCGACCTCTAGTAGGAATATGAATAACTGGAAGAGGAACAGTTGAAGTGAATAGTAACACTTCCTGTTCCCTCTTATTTTTACCTAGACAGAGATTGGGACAGCACTACCTTCTATAATCCAAGAGAGCTACTCTTCTGCACCATTGACAGAAGAACCTGAGGAGGAAGCATCAACACCAAAATTAGTTGATGGGTCTTCAGCACAGGGCTCTGGAGTTCTTGGACCCCAAACTCAAGATGGTGAGCAGAAAAAGAGCTTTGCATGTGTACCTTTGCTTTTGAGTGAGCCCACTTTGCTTGCATGTGAATGTCTACTTTTCTTACAGAAAAGGAAGTATATAATTTCTGTCTCTCTCTTACTGAAAAGAGATATAATATCTCTCAAATGCTCTGAAGTCAGATACGTGCCTACTCAAAATGTTTCCATACTATTTCACTATGAAAATAACTATGCACCAATGAAAATTTTTTTCAACTAAAGTTTTTAACTTAAATTTCAATATTATTACCAGCTATCTTTATTTTAATCTTATATTTAGGTATGTAAGTTTATGCTTCCAATATGGTGTGTTCAATGACCAGACATTAATCATTCCCAGTCTTGTATTTATATTTATTACTAGTGAACCTTTACCAGGTGAAAAAAAAAAAAAAAGTACACTAACATAAAAATGGAAATGAGAATTTCCCAGGAGAGTTCTGTAAAAAACCCCACACAATTTCCTTCAATTTTAAAAGCTGCAGAATGTTACAAAATATTTCACATACATCTTAAATATTACATATTAGAAATTTTGTATTTGTCAACGTATTTGAGCACTGAATGCAAAACAACTAATGTTTTGCATCAAGTAATGGTATACATGGGAGGCTCAAGGCTGTGACATATCAAATCAGGTATTTTTTTTGTCTTTTTTTTCAGCAACATATTTTCTTGTCAGATGTTGTTGCTGTTCTTGGCTTGGTACCAGATAGAGGACTACGAAGCTCAAGAACATGAAGCCAAGTTAATTTTTCTTGTTGACATCTTTTAGAATCCTCTTTTCCAGCCTACACCAGTCATAGCTGACAAATACTATTCCTCCAAGATTAAAAATAGGACAGAAGGGGAAACTCTCTTCCTATAGTATGTTGCAATACTCTACATTCATTAGGCCTAGATTTACTGGAATGGTTCAAGGTGTGACAATTTATTTTTCCCCTGTCAGGCTTACTTCCTGTAGCCAACTCAAACTGTCTTGTGGAGGAAGTTAGGGAAAATATAAAAATAGCCTTATCTCTACAGAAACATTTTTCCTGGATGCTCAAGTAGAGATTCTCAAATAGAAAAGTATTCTGGTCATTGATTTTTTAAAGTTGCCTGAAAAATCACCACATATTATAGACGGCCTTTCAGTTTGTTACTGCTGCCTGTTGGTAACTGACACAGATTAAGAAGTCAAATCTTTCATGTATCCAAAACTGATCTGGAGAAAAAACCCATCTGCAAGAAAAACATTTTCATATCCATTAATTATGCTGCTATTCTAGAAAATAACCAGAACAAAACACTAGTTATCTGCAACAAGAAGGAAAAAAAGAAACAGAAAAGCATTTCTGTGGGATAAAAAGCTGAGAAAGAGATATGCTGATTTATATCTATAATCAAAGAACAGATGTATCAAAAATTCAACACACATAACATCTAACAACTTTTCCTACTGAAAGTGACATACAGACAAGCCAGTCAGCATCACAATTCTCACCAAATTTGAATGGTGCCATCAAAAAAAAAAAAAAACTTCTGAATTCATGCTATTCATGTACTTTTATGTTTTATGACATGAAATGGTTTAACTCTTCACTGTCATGAACTTCTGGTAGTAACTAAATGTTTTGTTAACATGGTTTCCAAGTTACCTTAACTCAGAGTGATAAATTTTTCACTATGTTGAATTTCTGAATCAGAAAATGCAATGAAACAACATGCAAAGGAAATGGAGGTTCTCCTCCATAGCTCTGTAAGAAAGTACTGATTTCCTTACAATTTATTCAGGAGTACTATTTGCATAATGAAACTTCAGAAATCATAACAGGTTTCAGTCATCAGGTGTCATTCTCCATCTAGGTGAGGTGCACACTTGCCAATTTAGAGGAACTTTGGTTTGATCTTTGGTTGGCTGCTGTCACCTAATATTCTACTGCTATAGTCAGAAACACTGCATCAGAACAAGTTAAATGATATTCTAATAGGCATAGGAAGGAAAAAAAAAAAAGGAGAAGTAGTTCTAAGCAGAATTTAATCACTTTCATGTTGCAATTATATGATGATATTAAAACAGAATGGGAGTGAACTTCATTGTTGACAAAATCTTATCCTTATGTCCTTAAGTGAGCATTTCTTTGTAGTAAGTTGCATATCATTCTTGGTTTTGTTGTTTTGTTGGTTTTTTTTGTAACAGTTTTATTTTATCTTTGTTGACAGGTTTTCCCACTTGCCTTTTGTGTGCATGCCTAGGGACCACAGTCTACTGTGATGATCATGAGCTTGATGCTGTTCCACCATTGCCTAAGAAAACCACATATTTCTACTCACGCTACAACAGAATCAGGAAGATCAAAAGAAATGACTTTGCTAACTTAAGTATGGATAGTAGTATTGTAGCTTTAATTTCTGTTAATTTCTGGTTCATACTAATGTAAGACAGTGATTCATTTTATGTAGTGGTTGATGATGTACACACAAATGCACATATGGAAAAGTGGTTTGCTACTAATGATCATAAACAGAAATCCTTCAAATGCATATCTCTGTCAATTTTTTGAAATATTAGAAATAACAACTTCTATCTTTTTGCTGTTACTTGTACTCAGCTTTAGAAAGGTAGGAAGTATCCCAAACCTCATGGAATATATATAGTATATTAGAAAGTATTTTTTTCCTAAACAAGACAAGTTGGTAGGTAGATATACTTTGAAATATCTGTGAAATAAATGTGTGAAATGGATTTTACCTTTAAAGTATATGTTAATTGGTTTATTCCAGCATTATCTAAGAAAATCTTCAATAAATGAAAACTGCTAATCCAAAACCATCTGTGACCTAAAACTGGCCCAAACTGATGATTTAGGGAGCTTATATTTTCACATTTCCTACTTGAGATTCTTAAAGATACCTGATTTTTCTGGAACTATTAAGCCTACCCTGTTTAGGGTAGGGACTCTTACACACTCAACAGCTTGACTATCAAGCTACATTCTTTGGCGTTTTGTTTTAGATCTAACCTTGGGTAACTAATGTTTATTGATTTCATGATGAGAAGTGTGGAATCAGTGCCAGAAAAAAGCTACTACAACAATTCAGGGGAAAGCAAAGATCCTTTTATGAAAGAAAAGTATAAGGGTTTGGCTTGCTCCAACCAAGATGAAGGTTGGGAAGGAACACAATTGGCATATAAAAAAAAAACCAGGGGGAAAGAAGAACAAGAGCAAAAATTAATTTAGGCCAAATATACCACTAGCATAAAATAAAATAACCATGAAAAACACTGAGTAGAAAACAGAAATAAGCCACAGAATAATGCAATTAAAATGAATTAATATTAATGCACTGATATTTAGACATTGTTCTCTTTTGCCAGAAGTGTTTTGTTATCTTTTTTTGATTGGAAAAAGTGTTTTATTTTATTTTACAAAAAAGTCACTAGATCATAGGGAAATATTTAAAATAAAGAAATGTGGAACAAGGTGGTAAAGAACATTTATCTCCCTTTAAATGTTAGTTTTCTGAAAGATAACCATTTAAAAGATTCCCAGAACACCGACATTTTAAAGCTACTAATTTAAAAATCTTTCACTGAAAGATGTATGAAGAATTATAATAGCAGTTCTAAACCAGATGGAAAGGAGATATTGGTCCTCTTCCTTACAAAAACTCTTCAAGTTATATATATATAGAGAGAGAGAAAGCAGTCATGTAGTGGGTCAAGAATGGCTCTCATTCAAGACACTTGACCTGTAATTTAAATAACTCATTTGCCTTTTTCTTTTTTTAACACCTCCAGTAAATACATTTTTACATGCTTGTTGTATCTTATTTCTCTGCCAGACAATTTAAAGAGGATTGATTTGACTGCAAATTTGATATCAGAGATCCATGAAGATGCCTTCCGTAAACTGCCCCAACTTGAGGAGCTGGTGCTTCTCGACAACAGGATAAGTCAACTCCCTGAGTTACCATCCACTTTAACATTCGTCGATGTTAGTAAGAACAGGCTTGGTCACAAAGGAATACGTAGTGAGGCATTTAAAGTAAGTCTGGGTTTGGTGGGAAAATGTTTTCTTCCTCACTCCAAAGGATGCAGTGAGAAGAGCAGCCCAGGTGTCCTCCTACAGCAGTTAAAATTATAGTCACCATGACTGTGCTGGCTGCTGCATAAAGATATGAGCACCATCAGCTGGACACAAGAACCCCTTTTTATTCTTTACAAAGAGCTACACAAGATTGTGTGATCTATCATTGTATCTATGAACCAACTACTCACATGACTAAAAAGACTCTGGAAAGCTGCTTGATGTTCAGGTAGGCAAAATGGAAGGCCAAAACTATGAATGCTGCTGCTTCAAACTTACTCTGTCACATGGGTACATGGGAATGTGCTAGAATCTTCATTAAATGTATATGCCTTCTTTCCACGCTCAAAAGCAAGGAAATCAGAACTTCTGAATGATCATCCTTCCTTGAGAATTTTGGTGGGGGAAAGCAGCCATGTATGCTCCTAATTGCACGTGAAATCTGAAGTCATTATAGAATATAGGCTAGCTTTATATGTTAGACCTGGCTTATATGCCCTTCAATGTTCAACTACATCGAAGAAGGTAGCTGTAACCAGTCATCACTGAATTCCTCCTTTAGAAGACAGGTTCTTAATGAAGCAACCCACAGGAGGTACAGAATCAGGTATTTTCTCCTAGCCCAACATGAGTCAGGTGTTGGGAATAGGAATAATGGGCAAAAATCAGTCATCCAAACTGAGACTCTGACCTATCACTCTTTTCTTCTGAGGTCTCCTGATTTTAGTTATGAAGGAGTTTCAGACTTTATCTTCCATATGTGCCAGGAACCTTCTCCCTGATATCTTTGAGTTCTGTTAGTAAGAATTAAACTAGGACACTGCAAGCATAGTAGTATTTAGGTACCATCATAGCTTCTGTCTGTAAAAAGGGGGCAAAATGAGAGTATTCTGCTGAGCCTTATTGATCTAGCCCAGTTTATATCTTACTATTGTAATAACTACCATATGAAGCTCCTTCTTCCACTAAGTCAAGGGAGAAAATGAACTACGTTTCCAAACAGGATGAGAAATTTATTTTTAGCTTAGACATTTCTTATGTAGTTATAATTTGCTTCAATGCCAAGACAATTCTGTTAAATTGAGTAAGCTTGTCACAAATGCAAGAAAACAGAATAGGGAGCTTTCTGCATAATGGAGAGGCACTTTTGAACAACAGCATTGAAATTACATTTCCAATTGGTATGTCTCTAGACAATTCAAATAACTTTTTTTATTCCTTCATTTTAATACAGACACCAATCTTTAACAGCAACACCTCTCAGCTTGTGCAAATGAAAGCTCATCACTATCTTTCAGTTTTGGTCTTTTCAACCATATCATGCTGAAACAAAATGTATTAGTATCCAGTAGTGCTCACTGAAGGTATAGATTTAAAATTTACTTGCTACAGTTTTTAAAAAATTGCTATTATTTTTCCCCTACCTCTTTCCTTCATCCTCTAGGATCTGCATGAACTGCAGCATCTCTACATTACTGACAATAACTTGGATCACATTCCATTGCCACTCCCTGAAAGCCTCCAAGCTCTTCATCTTCAGGTAGGCTACAAAAGTAATGCCTGTATATGTCATGTTCAAACAGTAAGTAAAAAAGGAAAAGGCTAACTATGCTCTTGTTTGTTTGTTTGTTTCTTCTGTTTATCCAAAAGTGTACTTACCTGACTAAATAAACTATTGGAAACACACAATTAACTAGCAAATGCAGCATTTGAAATTCAGAAGTAAAATTTAGCTCAGCTAAGCACTGATTGTTAGAGTTTATAATACAATATTTTTCAAACATAAAGCTCTACATTTATTGTTAGCACTGATTAAAGTCGGGTTCACAGCTCTCAAGACCAAAATTAGCCAAGAGATTCAAAAAACAGAAATCCCTCATACTGCTTATACAGGTCTTCCAACAGGAATACTTTTAGATACCCAAGGAAAGTTTCTTTACATATTCATTGTATCAATACCCACTGCATTTCATTCTTTTAATAAAGGTCATTCCAAGTTGATAAAAATTTTTCAGCCAAACTTTTCCTTTTGACTATGTTGGAACATTCCATCCACCATTTTTCTGTAACCCTTTCTTTTAATTATATATTAATTTTTACCTAAACCTTTTTTTTTCTTCCTCTGAATTCTTACTTTTCATATTTTTCATCTCTGCTTCTGTCCCTTCATCTCCTCTTTTTGCTGACTGCACATCCCAATAGGAAGGATATTATCATTGACAGACAGCACATAAGCCAGATCAGTCCATACAGTTTTAAACCATATATGAGGGATCTGAGATAGCCAACAACTGGAGGAATGAAAAGATTTATACACTCTCTCACAGTGCAAGAAACAGTGGAGACAGGAGCAAATCAGTGAAGGACCTAGGGGACCAGACTTATTCCAATTGTGTGGCTATGACCATAGAATGATGCCATTATTATAGATATATTCCTTCCTCTGCTCCCAGCCACCACTGGGGCCTCTGCCTACAGGAGGCAGCTGGGAAACCCTTCCAGCAACTGGAAATCATACACTCACTACAGACAGAGCCAGCCTTTATGCTGTTAACCTAGAGGAGGGACACCTGATGTTAATGCTGAAGGCAGGGGGCACCTGGTGGTGATCTCCTAACTGGTTCACACCCAAGGTTGTCCAGACTCTGGGTGAAAACCAATCAGGAAGGTCTTTCCTTTCTGGTTGTGAACCCCATCCATATTCAGGGCTGGGGATTTAAACCCCAGCACTTCACTCCTCTTCTACCAATGCCCAGTTATGATTATCAGAAGATGGTTTTATTTATTATACAGTATAGAAAAAAAAATCTTTGAATAAATAACCTGGCATACCATGTACAATTTGACATCTATCTTTCAATAAGTAAATCTATATAAATACTCTGCCTGCTACCTGGCTATTTTTCTCACCTGCCCATGCCTGTAAATTCTGTGCTAAATGCTCCAGACCAAAACTAATGAGCTGGGCTTTTTCCACACCAATTTCTGACTAGCAAATGAATGGAGAAGGAAAGAATTTTCAGACAGTCCTCATTTTCGAATATGACCTTTTTAGTCTCAATTTCCAGACAATGTTGTACACTAGCAATTCATTGTTGAAAATAGTTTACTTCAAGAAAAAAAACTCAGTGAAGATAATGTCTATAGGATGAATTTAAATCAAATTAATAAATCCTAAAACATTCCATTTTCCCTGTACATATAAGATGTCGGTTAAGCTAGGGTGAGAGGGCCTGGGGGAAAGAAAATTGTCTCATATGAAGTTGTAGAATTGTGTCTTTGCAGGCCGAGGTGTATCAAGCTGAAATTGTTCTTCAAAGTAAAAAATGACTTTCAGATAATTATTCTGATAGATTTTTTGGCTTTTTTTTTAGAACAACAACATTCAAGAGATGCATGAAGACACCTTCTGCAAAATGAATGATTTTACTTATGTACGTAGAGCTCTTGAAGACATCAGACTGGATGGTAATCCCATCAATCTGAGTAAAACACCATATGCATACATGTGTCTACCCCGTTTGCCAGTTGGTAACCTCATCTAAGCTTTCACAGAAGCCAAAAATGTCATATGCTGTAAGAATCTTTAAAGAGAAATTATTAAATCATTGCTACACTGAGCAAGATGCATTTTATTACAATCTCATTAATTTGGGAAATGTTTCTATTAATAATGAAATTGATTACTGAGATAGAAAGAATAATACGATATGATAAAAACACCATTATCTACTGAACTGTAACTTGTATAGCAATATTAAAAATATTTTACTACAAAAACCATACTGAACGCAATAAAAGATCAATGTAAATGCAAGATTTTATCCTGAATTATTCAGATCTAATGTATGAATTCAAAAGTTGAATAATTTTATGTTAAAATCTAATTATAACTTCGTAAATAAAAATAAAATGTGTACACAATTGAGTATTTATCCCCTTTTATTTAATTAATTATTTTTCTCTCAAACACACAACTATTTTCTGAGTTCTTTCCTTAAAAGTCCCTTCATTCTGGAAAAGTAATAGTGATTTCAAAAAAACCCATGTTTTCTTTAGCAAGCAGAAACTTTCCTTGCATCAATAATAAAATACAGAGCTCAAACTCGTACCAGATTACCCAAAAAAGTACATGAAATATCTATTTATACCTTTGCAGTAATAACTGGTCTTTGCAAAGCTAATGAAGCCCATAGCTGTCTTTTGTATCTTTGATAAACTTGTCTGTCAGATTATCTGGCTAATAAAAATCTCATGTAAAATAAAGTCTCTGAGAAATACTGAACATTATTCTGCACAAGAAATGAAAAAAAAAAACAACCAACCAAACCAAAAAAACAAAACCAAAACCAAAAACAAAACAAAACGAAACAAAACAAAAAAACAAAACAAAACATCCCCTTGACATATTTACAGTCATACAAAGTATTGCAGTTCTATATACTAAAGACCGGAATTCAGAGACCCACATCACAAATACATTTGTGGAGCCATGAATCAGTTTCCAATTATTTGAAATTATTTCACACAGCTTTTCTTCTTTATTGTTTAAGAATATTACCAGATATAGATTAGGAAATTCCCTCCTTTTGCGTAGTTTAAACAACTCTCCTCCTTTCATGGGGAAGCTTTAATACATTTTTCTAGGGAGAAAGCCCCCAGGAAAGATCCACTAAATACAACAGAGGTACCTGCTCATTCTGTTTTACAGTGACAGGCAGCAAATAACACCTACAGATCTTCAGTGATAAAGGCTTCATGTAAGACTTAAGCCAAAAAAAAACCTTTCATAAAATACAACAAATCCTACCACTTACAAAAGCTGATATTTGTTTAATATCAAAGTTCCCTTTCATCTTACTGAACATACACACTCATTTAAATTGCAAGTGCAGCTCACTTGCTAGATTTCTGCCAGGCCAGGCAACGGAAACTATTCACAGAGATCACATTCTGCACCCTCACCACCACTTTCTAGAAGAGAACACGTGAGAAATGTGAACAGCAGGTTTGTACACAACAAACCTCAGACATTTTAAAATCAGAGTTGCAGAAATACATCAGGCTACACTGTGCCTTTATGACTCTACCTTTACTAATTTGGAAGTCTTACTTGAAGTCTAGAAAAACCCCAAACCAAACATAACAGCTGGATTTTTCACTTCCGTTTAAAATAAATATTCTTTGTTTTAAGACACTTATACAGACAAACTGTAGAACAACCATTTGCATTTTAGCATTTCCTTCCAAAGCTGTGCTTAGAGCTGAGACACTATTTTTCTCCCACTATCCAGTTCTTTTCTCTCTAATAGCAACTGCAAGGTCAATAATTTAAAAACAAAACAAACCCACAAACAAAAACACACACACACACACAAAAAAAAAACCACCACCACCACAAACCAGCAAAACAAAACAATCAAACAAACAAACAAAAACACTACACAAAAAAAACAACACCCACAACCCTTCAAGATACCAGACTGTTTCTCAGGTCTAAAATATGAACCTATGGGACTGTGTTTAGTGGTCAAACACTTAAACACTCCTTGAACTCAGAGAATCTACAGTGCTTTATTCTGTAGACATTTTTATGCTACCTTTAGGACTCAATTTTCCATATTCTGTCAATCTATATGTAAATCACCAGCTTTATATTGCTTTTTCAATCAAATGAAAATTAATGTTGAGGAAGAAAACCATTATTTATTCTACTGGTATGTTATTTTCTTTCTCTGTCTCCATCAATATGTCACACTGACAGTGGATGTTCCCTCTAGAAAGTTATGGTCTCTGAGGGTACACAGGAATGGCTTTCTCAATACTAGCCAGAGCTCACATCCACCATCTCTTTCTGTGCTTCTGCACTGCTTGGGCACACATCTGTTTTCAGACACAAGCTTTGGACAGGCTTTGGGGCACACTTTGAAAAACAACCATGACTGTTGAATTTAAACGTCTATGCACTCATGGACCCAAGATACAGATCAGTTGAACATTGCCTCATCTACAGCCTACTGACACATCTTTTGGAACTCTCACAGACGTGGCCAGTGTCATTCAGACAAACTTATTCCCAAAAGAGGCCTAATGTTGCAGTGAAAATTTATCTCCAAAGACTTCCAAAGAGAGCTAGCTAGTCAAGATCACATGGCTAAAATAGGTGTAGACACTGCCCCAGTTCAAGTGAAGTATTTTCCCAGAGCCTAGCAGGTAAGCAGAATTTCTCAAAACTGACAGTAACCGTGCAGTTAACCCAACAGCATTGCATAAATTAAGGAAATAGAAAACAACTGATCCTGAGAAAACATTAAAGAAAACAACAACAACAACAACAACAACAACAACAAAACTTTATTGGAAAGTAGGGTGCTTTTTTTGTAATCTAATTGGCATTAATATTAGATTCATACAGAACAGGGACACTTTCATACCCAGGTGTTTCATTATCTATGAAATATGTGTGTGAACGTGAGCCTCCACCACTTATTTTCACACTCTGACTGTGAAGCTCTTTCCTCTCCAGCAAATGGAGATGTAAGCAAAAGAATTCTAGATTTCAAAGAGTAACTTGCTTACCAAGGGTGAGAAAATGGATAAATAGCTTTCAAAGGGTCACAGTATATAAAGCAGTAGAAGGAGCCATGCTGCCAAAGAACTTCTGGAAACTGAGTAGAGGGTGGAGCTGGGAGGAAGGAGGTGAAGTTAAGCAGGGGTGGGGTATGGAATAAATGATGAAGGAAGAAAGGAAGATAGGGTTGAGAGCAGAGAGAGATTATGCTTGTTCTCTCCTGTTGTGTTGAAAGGCAGAGAGAGAGAGCAGCAAAATCCCAGAAGTCTTAGACTCTAGTTGCATTTATTTATATGCTCAAGAAATTCTATCCTTTCCTCTCCATTCACACCTCACTCTTCATGCCATCACCAGTGGAGCACGTCTTCACATTCCCAGAGGAGCACATGTGCTCTGAGAAAGATAAAAAATCATGGGTTGCCGGGGAGGTGAAGAAGAGCACAAAAGCAAAAGTCCCTTTCACGGTTGCTGCAGTAGGTTGAATCCGGCCCCTGAGCTCTTGTGCAGAGGTCAAGCATCATGCCATGGTGATAGATTTACTGCCCATACCACATCTGTTTATGGGAAGATGTATGTCAGTAGGAGAAGGCAACCCTTGCTAATCATGATGACCATGGTGCATCCCAACTATATAAAGGTATGTGAGTGTTTAGATATCTGGCCCCCAAGAATATTCTATAGTGCATATCCACAATTTGAAGACCATTTTGCAAGCTAATCTCGGATCATGGTCAGAGAGGAAAGGGTATGTTGCACAAGAAACGAGAAAATACTGTGGTAGATAAAAATCAACTATAGTACTCCAGAAGTCAAGAAATACTGAATGGAATGTAATCCCTCTAACCTCTGCCTTGGAAGAAACCTCCAAAGTCACAGACCAGAGCTCCATCCCTTGTTCAGTGGTCAGCTGTACTAATCTAATGCAGACCTTATCCAGCTGTAGAAATCTAGCCAGGGAGTTCACAGTTTCTGTGTATATATTTTTTTTCTTTTTTTTTGTGTGTGTGGTTTCTCTGAACTTCAGTTGTTGTTCCACGTTACAAATCAGACTGTCTTGTGGAACTCAGTTGTGATGCTTTGATGTAGACCTGCTGCATGTGAACAGACCTCTTGAAGCTCCCTACAGAATTTGATTCTTCAGAGGTTTGGGAGAGGTGCTCAGTATGCAGAGTGGATGTGCTGCCTGCTCTGCTACTTTCCTCTGCCTGACCCTTAGCTTCCCTTTGTCTGCATTTCAGTATCCTTCAACAGCACTGCCAAATACAAAGTCTGAGCTTGTCCTTGCCTTTCAAGCAGCCTTGCAACTTACCCATTCAAGTACATGCCAAGCATATGCCTGTGTTAAGCAAGAAAAATATTCTGACTTCTGGAACTATCAGTGTGTGGTACAGGCAAGAATTCAATGTGAAATTTCACTGGGAAAAAGTTGTAACAAAACTGTACCATAAGCAGTAGGGTAGCTGTCATTTTCCACTGACCTTTGTGAGAGAAAAACCTTTAGAAATTTTCTACTCATCATATCTTCATGCTACTTTCACAAAGTGAATGTGCATGGACCTAGCTGATTTTAGCAAAAGACAGCTAAAACCAGAGCAATTAAGAGCCTTGAAAAAAACTGTGTAATGGACGAAACTAAGCATTAGACACTGCGCCCAGTCCTGTGTCCATACTATAATTCTCCACTTCCTAGGGAAAAGAAACAAACAAAACCATGAATAAGAAAAAAATTCTGGTGCAAGTTCACAAGGCCAAGCATACTCACCATATTCTCAATTTAATTCATTATACATATAGAATATCAGTTCTACATATTGTGAGTGGATGTTTATGCAAAAATAATAATCTCTTCTGTTCTCTGCCACTAAGTCTACTACCCTTCACCATTCATGTTATTGACATCTGCCAGAACAGTATCCTCACTCTTATTTGGTTGCATTTAAAAACAATGTTTGCATGAGTTTCTATAATTATTTCAAGAGTGAC